GGCAGCAGTGGGAGGTTTTGTAGGCAGCAGCTGACACCGCTGTCACGGCCCTCCAAGTAAGCAGCAGTAGCCGCCCCCACCACCCCAATCCCTCCCCACAGCTGCAGAGCCGGCCACGGAGCTGTGCTCTGGCCGCATACCAGCCTCCCTCTCCCCCTCCCCCTCCCCTGGGCAGGCAGCCGAGTGGCATGTGTGCAGCCTGCACATGGCGGGCACCACCACACTGTGACTTATATTGCTTGCCTGCAAAGCCCCCTGCAGAGGGGCACCTCTACCCTCACCCCCTGGCCCTGCTCCCAGCTGCGATGTGCCACCTGGGGCCAGCAGCACTTCCCACTCCCTCACCCCCAACCATCTTCCCCAGCCTTGCCCCAAGCCCCACTTACCTCTATGCTCCGGGGGCAAAGGACGAGTCTGAGCCTGAGCCCGAGCCCGGCCTTGGCTGCCTCAGAGGCTCAGGCCCGCCCTCCCCCCTCCGGCTAGGGCTGTGGATTTCCCACCTTTTCTGCAAACGACTCTTGCAGGCTGGAGCTGTGCAGCCTGCAAGAGCTCTTTGCAAAAGCGGAGAATCCACGGATTTCTCTGCTAAAAAGGGACATCTGCGTTTTCTCCGATAAAAATAGGGAATCCATGGTTTTCTCCATTTTTCCGTGGGAAATGGAAAACCCAGGTCCCTGATGATTAGCCCTTTTCCCTCCTCCCCATCCGACCTAGTACTTGCACCATGACTGAGTACTGTTATTTCTGCCATTCTTGAATTCTCTTTAACCTCAGGTGACAGTGGCCTTAATTCAAAAGGAATTAAGGGAACATCTTTAATTTGCCTAAGTATTAAATTATAAAGGAGGACAGTTCTCAGTTTCCCTAAAGACTGCTTTAGTTCACTGAGGGCTAGTCTTCTTTGGCAGGTATGACACAAATTAACCCTGCATCATCCCTTAGTGCCACTCCAATCCCTTTCCTTTAGCTGATATCCTGCTCTACTTTCTGCTCTCTAACTAAGCTGCTGCTCTGCTTCCTGTCCTGTGCTTCCTGCCTGCTCTGATACTTGCTTTCTGCTTCCTGCCCTATCTGCCATTCTGCTGCCTGCTCTCTCTCCAATCTGATGCAGGCCTCACACACAGAGGCTACTCATGCCACAGGTTGGCCACCCCTGCTCGTTTATAGTGAATAGCTGTAGTTGCAGGGTTATGGCCATCATGTCATACACATCAGTTTCCTGCATATATCCAATCCACACCCTATATCCTGTTTGAGTACAGAGAACTTTAAACCAGCTTTACGTCAACCAGATAGTCCTTTTTGCATAAGGGATATTCCCAGAAGGCTCTTTCCACCCACTTTAAAGACTTTTCCAGGAAGATCCCCTTTGGAGTAGAGGGGAAAGAATATATTATTCACACCCTAACACAACTCTACTCTCCTGTTGCACCTATCTGAAGATCTCAGTGTACTTTAAATTTTTAGTGAATTAAACCTCTAACATTCTCCAGTGGTAGGCACCTATTAAGTTAATTTTATATGTGAGAATAATGAGATGTAAAGTGACATTGGACATGTCTATATGAGACGCTACTTCTCAGTAGTTACTGCACATTTATTTAGTACTTGTATAATCAAGTACTAAATAAATGCATAGTAGCCAGAGTTACTGCACAGTAGCACCGGTGAGTGCATTAGCGTATTAACACTGGTGCTGTGACATGCTATTGCACAGTATTATTTGGCTCCTGTGCAGTTAGCATCTCATGTAGCTGCACCTATTGGGTACTGTGTCAAAAAGGCTGTGGCGGAGCTGGGAAAAGCTGTGGCAGCCAGTTCTTCTGACTTCCACTTTTATGTGTAACCCCCATTAGCTCGTCCCCTTCCCTCCCCTAAAAGGCCTGGTGTGTCTCCGTGCATATGCAAACATATTTACATGTACATTAGTTAAGACTGGAGAACCCAAACTCAAAGAAGCTGAGTTCATTAGACTGAAAAAGACAGGTTCAGTTCCCCATTAAACTGTTAGCTCAGCTCTAGAAGAAATATGCTGCCACTTTTAAAATACCCTTATCTAAAAAAAGTGATTATTCAGAGGTGGATATTTCATAAACCAAGCTTCTAAATGTTTCTTGGCCTCATTCATATGAAAAATTAAATGTTTCCCTCAAAGCTCAGAGGTAATTTAGCCAGGTACAGGATCAAAGTTTTTTGTACCAATTTCCCAGTGGACACATCTTGGACTCAAGAAAGCTTTCTTACTATCTTGTGTCAAACAAGAAAGATTAAAAAAGTAAGAACCATGTAAAAAAAATCCAGCTTCATGTTCTTTCTCTCTACCTGAAGACATAATTCATTTTTTATCCAAAAGTAATAAATCAGATCAAATAAAACATGAATGAATCTCTACTGTGTATTGGTGCCAGTTCTTAGGAGCACTCTGTATAACTGAGGCAGAGAAGTCAGAGGGCTTCATGTTACCTTACTTCCTGTTGCAGTTCTAGGGTTAAAGGCACCTACTGTGGTCTCCTCAAGGGCACCCTCATTAGGTCTAAGATCATAAGCAATCACTTTCCTACGTGTAGGAATTTGCATGCCCATCTCTCTCTACACCTGGCTTTTGGAGTTCCAACTCCATTGAAATTAACTGTGCTTATCCCAGCAGGTCTAAATTAGCTCAGCAGCTGCAGTTCTTCTTTCTGTCAGACTAAGACACTGTTAATCAGTGACCAGCCAGGTTTCAAAAAGTACAGCTCATTTATTTTAGGATAAAAGCTGTACAGAGAAAATATATCATAATCTACACTCAGGCATTACTCCTCATCTGCAGGGGTCTTGCAGATCTAAGACTCGTGATTATCAGTTGTATGTTTCAGTGTGAGCGTCCCTGCCCCTAGGATTAGGTGGCCAATTTATATAATCTCATGTCATTTTTGGAAGTGTTCTTCAGCTAATTGAAAGCGAGGACATGCACCATTTTTCCCTTGGGTGCATGGGTGTAAGGAGGCTTATCCACATGCGTTCATCCACTGAAGTACATTAATTACTTCCCAGTTATTGTAGTTCCTGGAGGAAAAACTCCTGTAACTTCTCTATGTGCTAGAATATAATTCCATTGATCTAGATTCTTACTTCAGCTCCTAAACCAAAATGCCTTGATCCACTCCTGCCACCAAAGTGCTTTGTTATTTAATGTATCGTGATAGATACAGGTGCACCGATATATTGGTCGCAGATCAGCACTGATAAAAGGAAAATTAACCTTATTGGCAATCTGTTTTTTTGGCTGGTGTAGCTGATAATGTCACCGATAAATGCTACATGCATGCACGCAACTGCCAGGCACACAGAGATGTGGGTTTTCCTGAAAATTCTGAATTGGAAAATTTTCCAATGCCCTAAAAAGAGTGTGGTCAGATTTAGCATGTTTCTTTGACTTTATATAAAGTTAATTTAGAAAACAAAACTAAAAAAGTATCCCCATGTTAATTTTATGTTCAAATAGCAACATGTAGTTGAACGGAAATAGTTGATTAGGAAAAAAATTAAATGCAGCACATTTAATGTGATTTAAATGCTATATTCAAACAAATTCAAAGCTTTATGTGGAAAGAAATTATTTTTATTGGATATTTGTAAAAATGTAAAGACAAAACACCAATAGTATGTTGTCCCGGGGATAGTGAGAAGTGGGACTGGGAAGCCCCGCTTGCGGGGCTCCACGTGGGAAGAAACACTAAAATAAAGAAAGAAATGCAAAATAACCACTTACCTGCAGGAGGAGCGCCGCCAGAAGACAGAAGAGAAAAGCCTGCGCAGTTTACAAGCCGCACCTTTATGCTATTAAGGCCGGCGGGTGATGTCATAAGGACACACCAGCCAGCAGGGATAAAAGCGGCCGCTGGCAGTAGAGAGGGGAGAGCCAGTGAGGAGGCGGAGGCTCTTCATGCCAGCAACGGGCGGAACTGGCACGCACAGGGAGGGCCTGGACATCAGATGGCTGTGGAAGCAGCGAGAGCTCCCCTCACTGTGGGCACTGAGATCGAGCCCCAGGAAAGGTGGGACACTGGGTGTGACTTCCCCCTTGTGTCATTAAAGAAGTTCATTGGGAAAGACTCCAAGTGGTGGCATGGCCAATTCGGCGAACGCAAAAAGGTGAAAACCAACCTTGGGGAAGTGGAGGTCTTCCCACTCGAATGCCCCAGGTACCAGGTCAGGGAGCTGGGCTAGGGGCAGAAGGAAGAGAGGGACCCCGCAGGATGAGAGTCAGGGGAGAGCTGCCAAGTTCGGGCAGGATGGCTGGGAAAGCTGACCAGTAGGATACCGGACAAGAAGACCCCTTTTGGGTCATTTTTTTCTTTATTTCCTTTTCTTCATTTTATTTCTTTACCCCAGCTCAGGGGCACCCTTAAGCCCCAAGAAGAAAGCCAACTGGCTCAAAGGGGATCTCAGGCCCAGAGTTTGGGCTGGCTAAGTATCCTTCCCCAAGGAGAAAAGGGGATACAGGGCACAAGGAACAGCCACACTGGAGCGGCTGCCATGTCAAAATCTGGTGCCCCACCAGAGATTGGTGTAAGGCTGGGGTATAGGGGAGGTGGAGCCCCATGAACATCCTGCAAGTGGAGTGGTCATCCCTGAGGGGAGTTTCAAGGTTGAACCCCACACTGACATAACATTCAAAGACATGGCAAGTGAGTTTGGGGAAGGCCACCAGCACAACCGAAGCCCACCTCGGGGAACCCACGAAGCTAGAGAGGGTACACTTTCTGCTGTCCGGGCCAAGGCGGCCCGTAAGCGGGCATTCGAAGCCAGGTGGGTGCATATGTACTTCCCTTATGTTGCTTGTTTAAATTTAAGAAAAAAAATGAAGGCACTGAAAACTGTTGACACATGAATTTTAGCACACCCAAAAAGCTGTGCATGATATACCATGGTTGTCCACTCATCTACTTCAACAGAGTTCAACTCTCTTCCTCTGAGATCATTGTGGCACCCGCAGTTTCACTGTCACGATCTGTAGAATCACTTGCACTACTTATTAGTTCCATTTCAAAATCAGATTGAGGCAAATCTGATTCAGAACTACTTGAACCACATTCTCTTTCACTAACGGCAGAGATGTGGGGTGGAAAATTTTCGGCAGAAAAAGCAAGCACTGGAAAATTATCCAGAAAACTTTTCACCCCACATTTCTGCATGCATGTGGCCAGGAATGCAACTTGGCATCTTGGAGACCAGCATCTGGCCAGTAAGTTGGGGAGGAGGGGCAGGGGGAGGGCAGATTGAGGCTCCCACGGTGAGGGAGGGAGTGGAGCAGGGACATGGGCAGAGGTAGGTGGTGCCCAGCCAGGGCGGTAATGAGACCCCACTGGGAATGGGATGGAGCTATGGGCACCTCATCCAGTGGGTGCAGGGATAGGGAAGGAATGTGTCTCCCCGCTGCTGCTCACACCCCTGGGGGAAGCAGGGGCAGCATGTGTCCCCTGGATTTGTGTGCAGGGGCTGTGCCAGCCTCTTCCTGGCAGGGTGGCTGAGCCAGGGCTGCAGGTGGGGGCAGGGTGGGTGGCAGCAGCACTGGGGGGGGCTATGGGGTGGGCTACAGTCACCCCAAAATTCCCTGTAGCCACCCTCAGTGCCACCATCACGTGCCTCAAGTGGGGCCCTGGCCTAGGCCCCGTGCCAGGAAGAAGCTGGTGCAGCCACTGGCTCCAAGCCTGCAGTGGGCAGCCCACCTTCACCTCGTGCACAAATCTGGGGGGCACATGCCCCCCCCATGCCTGTCCTGGGGGTGCACACAGCAGCGGGGAGCCATGCCCCCTTCTCACCCCCCTGCGTCCCTCGGATGAGCCGCCTGCTGGGTCACATTCACCATTCTGGCTAGGCATTGCCTTCCCCTGCCACACTTCCTCCCCCACCATGAGAGCCTTGATCTGCCCCTTCTGCCCCACAGACTTACCAGCAGGAGGCTGCTCTCCAAGCTGCCAGGCTGCATTCCTGTAAATCGGCTATCAGATTGGTATTGGCCGGTATGATTGGTTATTAATCGGCCATTGGTATCGGCCAAGAAAATCTTTACTGGTGCACCCCTTGTGACTTTGCCTTCCACATAGTGCCAGAGGTTTGCCTGCCTGCCTGCCAGCCTGCTTGAGTGAGCCATAGGAGGAACTAGAAACAGGAGATAATGGTGGATTAAAAGGAACATCAAATAAGAGCCTAATGACAGTTTTTAAGCATTCTTTAACAAAGTACATAGGCCAAGGTGTCCATGGTATATCTAGATCTCTAAGCAGGGTTTTTTTGGTGATATCTTTTATTGGAGCAACTATATTGCTGAGACAAATTTTAGACAAGCATTTGGGTGCAAAGGGCCATTCTTCAGGTTTGGGAAAGAAACAGGAATGGCCTTGATTAAAAACCAGATAAAACCATGGCTTATGTTTAATTCTGCATATAAATGAAAAGAGTCATTTAGAGGAATGGAGAAGGGATGCAAAAGAGCAAATAAAAGTTAGCCAAATTAGCTTCAAAACAAGAGAAGTACACTTATATAGGTAACCAAACTACATAAGAGGAAGATATTCAAAAGGGGAAAAGGGCTATTCTTATCTATGGAGTACGAAGAATTTAGAAGAGATTTTATTAAGTTATGAGCCATGGATCCATTGTCCATTGATGTTTAGTCCATGGTGTTTAGTGTCCAGGAAAGCTACGATTTTTTTCCCAAGGCCTAACTCAAAGGTGTTCTGTAGATTTTCCATGAAAAATGGTGAGGTCAGAACAGAATGGTTCAACATGTCAGTTCTACTATAGGGCCTTGTTACACGTTACACTGTGAGTGGCACAAGTATTAATCAGTGTTAGTGCTAGCTCAAGTCTGGAAAAGGCATGCATTGAGGCCAGCAGGGGCCTGGAGGACTGAAAGGTAAGAATCACTCCCACCCCTTCATTCCATGCTTCTTCCTTGCTCTCCAAGGCTCCCCTGGTTCCCCCAACACTGTGCCGCCCTGGGGTTCTCCCCACTCCTGCTTGCTTGTGGCTGCCTGCGTTATCTGTCCTAGGGAGCAAACGGGGAAGGGTTAACCAGCCCGCCCCGCCCCCCCCCCCCCCCCCCACGCTGCTGCCCCTGCCGGGCTGCTGCTCTTCTCCCAGCTCAGCCTGGCCCAGACAGCAGCAGTGGTGGTAGCAGCAGCAGCAGTGCACATTAACCCCTTCCTACCTGCCCCCACCAGGACAGATAGTGCAACCAGCTACAAGTAACCAGGGGAGAGGGAGGGTGGGGAGGGTAATGAGTGAAGATCTGGGGTGCTCGGGACAGCCAGTGGAGGAGGTGCAGTGGGCCCCATCCAGGCCAGATGGAGCGGGTGGCAGATGGGATGTTCACAGTGCGTGCATCTACACATGGTGATTTAAGGCACATTAGCCATTTTTAAGGCGCATTAAGGGCACAGGTCTACATGTGCACACCCTTAATGCACTTTAAAAATGGCAATTTTAGGCTAATTGTGCCTAAACTTAATACGTGAATAAAGCAGGTATCAAATTTAGGCATAATCAGTTAAGGTGCCTTAACCCATGTGTAGACATCTTAACACTACATGACC